GGCTTTGAGGATTGTTTGGTTTTTGATGAGTTAATGGACCAGTTCCACAATGACCTCGGTGAGTGAGACCACGGGGCAAGAGCGAGAGCAGAGTAAGAGCCTTCTCTGTTCAAAGCTGCCTGGCAGCCTTGTGGAGCTAACTGTGGTGCTGCTTCCTGTTCCCAGGCGTTTGCCTTCCTGAGTTCTCCAGGCTGAGGGTGCCAGACGACCACGCGATCTCAGATTTAGCCATATACAATTACATAGAGGTAGGCGAGCAATGCACAGACTTTGCATGTGATGGGGTCTGTGCATGCAGTGATGCTCGGCCTTGCTAATCGAGGAATCTGCACTTGGGCAGAGAGAAGGAAGAGCAGAGCAGCTGAGCCCTCCCAGTGCTGCCAGTCATACCATGCGAAGGGGTTTCCTGTGTCTGCACGTTTGTTTATAGTTCTCTGCTGGGGATGCTCTGCCTCTCTATGGAGACCTGAGTACTTGGGCGAAAGGAGATTTGACAGCTAAGAGATGGCTTTGGTTGCCACTCTCCTGCTCACTAATGCATGTACATATCATCACACTGATGGCAGGGCAGGTGTGGGCACCCTTTTCCCTGATCTGAATTCCCCAGCACCTTTGCTGAAATGAGGAGGGAAACTGTGACTGAGAAGGCTGCGCACAGAGCCAGTTATCCATCTGAGTGGGGAAGAGTAGGGCTGGGGAGAGCACCATGGAGGCAGAGCAGGAGCACTTGTCTAGAAGTTGAAACAGGTTTCTGTGTCTTGGCAGGATTCAGAGCACTACCGCATTGGCCTCGCTTCCTTCCCCGATGGGCAGTCGGCCGGGGCACCGAGTAGCCTGTAATGCTCTGTAGGCTGTGGCAAAGGTCTGGGCAGGGACTTTGGTGAGGCCAGGGCTGTTCACTGCTTGTTCTCAGCATTCACATGCAAGGTGGCTCCCTCACACTGGTTTACCAGAGTTAACTGGTTTCAGTTATTCTCTTAGACCTTCTAAGAAGGGGAGGAGTGATGCACTCAGCAGGCTGTGCCCTGTGTTACATGTCATGGTTCACTCACTGTTTGCTGCCGCAATTGGCAGTCCTCACACTGACGTAATTTAGCCTAAGAGCTGCTTTTGAATTACCCTAGGGCTGAGGAGGCTCTGCTCCCTTCAGCATTACTGCCTGTGATGGTGAGAGCTCTGGGGAAAGCTAGCAAGGAGCAGGGATGTCTTCCAAGACAGCTTGTAAACCAGTGATTGCTGGTCTGTTGCAGATGCGAGAGCATGTGAATTCAATGTGGTTCATTTTCCGAAAGCACGTCGACAACTTCCTCCACACCCTCATGCCTTCCACCGTCATCCCGCTGTACACCATGGTAAGGCCAGCTCCTCTGCGCTTGCTTCCCTGACCTCCTGCCGTGAGTTATTCCAGGTTGCTCTGAGAGTGACCTGCTTCTGCTCTCTGTTCAGGTCACGTTCACCAGAATTCGCTACCATGAAGCATTGCAGCGCTGGAAGTGGCAGAAAAAGGTTAGGCAGAGCTGGTGCCCATCCTCTCTGTGCCAGGAGCCTCCTGAGCTCTATGTCCTGTATGCTAGCACTGCTCAGTTGTGGGGATGAGAGTTTTGGTCGTGGAACATTGCCAGGTGGATGCTAAGCAGGCACACGCTGCATGCGGGGTAACACGCTTTCCCTGCGTGTGTTGCATACCCCTCACTTGTAGCTGGTGCAGGGAATTCCCTGCTTTCGGAGCTGCTCCTTTACCGTGCATAATTGGTATGGCTGGTGTTATCCTGACGCTGTGCTGGGCCAGGGCTGCTATTTCGGTTGGTGTCAGGTACAGGAGCGCTGTGGGGCTGTTTGGATGGGAGGATTCCCTAGCCATTCTGCCCTAGGACTCTTGTGCAGCGGGGGCAGGAAGCAACGCAGTATGGAAGCAGTGAGAGGTGACTTGTTTTTAGCTCCCCATACTCTGTGCTGCGTGGCAGCTCTTGGTCCTGCTTGGGAAGGAGGAGTGAAGGTCTGGAGCCTTCCTCCCGTGCCCACAGGCTCTGCGAGAGCTGGCTGCAGGCCCTGAGTGCTGACAAGGAGCCACACATGCTTGCTTCAGGCAACTTGCACGTGTTTCACTTGGTGCCACAGGGTGGGAGCAAACTTCTGACAACATCTGCATTTCTTCTTACACTTGCAGGTAATTAATCGAGGGCTCTTTGTCATGGGGGCAGCAGGACTGGGTGGCACCTACCTGCTCATAAAGCGGCTGGCACGGGATACTGACTTCTGCGTAGAAAACCTGTGGGGCTATCTCAAGAATATTGGAAAATTTTCCTTCAACACACAAGTGTAAGGGGAGCTCCTACCTGGAATAAAGTGAAGGCATGGGCTGTTGGCTCAGTTCAGTGACGTTGTTTCTCTTGGGACGTGACCTGGGAGTTCCTGTAACCCCACCTTCTCCTCCCCTCCCTCTGAGAAGTGACAAACGCTCTCTGTCTCCCTAAGAGGAGTTCATCAGGGCGCAGAGTGCCAAGACAGCCTAGGCAAGACTCAATGTTTTCGACTGTCTAATTGCAGCAGTTTTGCTTCTTGAAGTGATGTTGCTTGTCACTGGCTGGGCCAGTGTTTTTTGTTCAGTAACAGGGGAAGTGCGTGCTACAGTGTGGCTGCCCAGCCTTCCCAGCCAGCAGGACGGCCACTTAAATTGGTCAGGGTGTCCCGTTCTGTTCTTACCAAAATCCTGTCTTTTCCTCCTTTTATCTCTCAATATGCCTTTGGGCATAGCTTATCTCAACAGTATTCCCAGTTGGCTTGGAGAGATCTTCAAGTATCTCAGGGTGATAACGTTCATATTCAGAAGGTTTGGTTCGCAGGGGTGAGACTGCGTGATGCACTCACACCTTTATCATTGAACAGATTCACAGCATTACAAAGCCTCTCTCCAGGATGGACATACCTGGTCAGAAGCTATCTACTGATTTTATACAACGAAAGACAAACATTACCTCAGGAAAGCTGTAGTCCTGTCAAGAATGGATTTGCACTCCCGCATTGCAGTTATCTTCAGCGAAGGCATTCAGAGCAATTTTTTAGCCTCGTTTTTTTTAGGGCACTCTGGGCAGTTCCCTCCTCTTAAATGGTTCTGTTTCTGAAATAACTTAGTAACGTGAATCTGTTGAAGGAACATATCCTTGTTACATTGTTGATATTTCTCACATAAATTAAAAGATGGAACACACTTCAAAAATGCCTATATATTTTGTTTACAATTTTTGTATTTTAAACTATTGTTTAAAAAATGTCAACCCTTCTTTTTGTTGCTTTTCCATCAAGACACATTTCTACTAATTCTGCTGTTGTCTGTCTGCTATGCAGATAGGCACCTCCATGGTTTTCTTAGATCTCCTGCCCCCCCTCACACTGAGCAATCGCCAAGCCAATAAAAGCAGCTTTGTGCCTTCAGCTTACGCGTATGTGTATGAGCATGCATGTATATACAGGCTAGCGTGTTCTAAATTGTGCTTAGACACGCTATATTTCAGGTGAACTTGAGAACGTGAACTACCTGGGACTTGCAAATAGTGTTTGGAGGGTTTTTGCTTGAAAATCAACTAGTTTTTTTTTTTTTCCACCCTCCGAAGTCAAAGAAAATATGGTTCATTTATTCTTGATGGAAATGAAACAACTTAAAGCAAGTTCTGGGGTGGTACTTGAAACCTAGAGAAAGGACCGTTTCTCAGTTGGCTAAGAAATATATCTGCTTTTTGCAAGTGAGTCTCCACAGACAACGTGACCATGTCTTCGGGCTAAAGCAAAGACCAATGGGCCTGAAGGACTCTCCTAGCTCATTGTTTCCCTGCTTGACTTTTGTGAGTGTCCTAGCATGTCCATTTGTCTAATGCAATTCCTGATCACATTCCTCTTTTAAATGGTCCAAATCCCTGCATTTGCATCCTTCATCCCAGCTCTTTAATTGCCCTCCCAAACATCTACGTGTTTGTGCTTATACTGCAGAATCTACACCAGCAGTAAGACCAACTGACAGGGGAGATGTTCTCTTCATACTCAAGTAAACAAAAACTTCTGGTTCCCTGGCAATGGGCACTGCATGCGAGCCCCGTGGCTGAGACCCCCCGAGCCTCAGTGGATGCCTTTTGTGGTCTGGTGCAGCCAGTCACAGGGCTGTGCTGTGGCCGCGCTGGTGGTGCCTCGGAGCTGGAGGAGGCTGGCACTATGTACCCTGCTGGAGTTTCAGCCACCTTACAGAAAGTAGGGAAGAGATGGCCGCAGCTGAACCTAGTGTGGTGTAGAGGCTAAAATGGTTACTGTTTCAGTTACAGAAAGATAGAAAATAGGGCTGCTGGAAGAGATTGTTCACAGGCGGCTAGGGCTTTCCCTTGGCTGGGCAGAGGGTCAGCATTGTCTGTGTCACTCCTGAGCAGTAATGGAGAGCCTGCACGCTTGCCCAAACACTGTGCCAGAGCTACCACCTGACTGTGAAGCTGCATATTTCTTGCTGCAGTTTTATTTCCTTTCCTCTTGCCTTCATTACCAGGCACGGAGAGCTGATCTTTTCTTTCTTGAAGGCTCTTAATACATCCTGCCTCAATTCTCTTCTCTCTTGGCATTCAGTCTAGCTCAATCAGCATAGCTGAGTCATTTCTCAGGAGCTGTCTAATCTGCTCATCCCTCTCACCTGAACCATCTCCAGCAGCTCCAAATATTGCTTATCTAGTTTTGGTCATGTCTCACGGTGGTTTTGGGAAGGACTGGTGGGTATAGCACCATTCAGCATGACAAGAGATGGTCCATCGTTTAGCAGGTGGCTCTGTGACCTCCCCTGCCAAAGCATGACATGGATGCACAGGTTTGAGGCTGTGCAAGAGAAGTCTTCTGAGTATTATCAAATGCATGGGAGCTACGCTGAGTCAGGGAGTCCTTGAGCTTAAAATAGTAACAGGCAGGGAGAGTATTGAGGGACGTGTCAGGCATGCTTTCCCTCTTCTTACCCTGCCCTAGATGCTCACTCCTAACCACTGTTGGAGATCAGGAAAATGGCCAGAATTAACCTTTGATCTAGCATGGTACAGCTGCTGTTATGTTTAAGGTAGTCCTTTATCTGCCAGCAGGGAAAGGATCTGATTTGCATCATTTTGTGAGTCATTTTTGACTTGCAGGGAAGCACCTTTTGGGACATAGCTGGAAAAAGAATGTAAAACACAACTTGTTTATCTGGTCAGCATATTCTCCAGGTGCCGCGTCTGTTGGAGATGCTGGCAGCGATGATAGGAGTTTTTTGTAGCTTCTCTGACAAGCACTTCAGCTGCTGCCCTTGCACCTGATTCATAGCAGGACTTATGTATCTACTTTATATATTAATTTTTATTTTCTTTAAATTTATTCATAGAGCAAATGGAGGTTTACATAATACAAATACAGCTACAGGCAAATTATACCCAAACATAAAGCAATATCGTACAGATATTTCACAGGAATGACCCCACAACATAAAAACAATTAACTGTTGTGCACTGTTTGAAGTAGCACTGAGCTGGGCGTGCTCTTTGGTACTGCCAGTTGTTTTGTATGCCTGGCCCTCTGTGTGTCTGATGGGCTTGCAGAGAAAGGAAGAGATCTAGCCCTGAGGGAGGAAGAAGCTATGGCCAAACTCTTGAGTTGCAAGCAATGTGTTTGAAGTTCTTTGTTCCTCTGGCTGCTGATGTTTCACAGTTCAAACAGTTGCTTCTTTACCACCCCATCATGCAAAGGGCTCAAGGCCTCATGGAGGTGAGCAAAGTTTGCAGGAACCCAAATATAAACATGGAGGACCCTGAGGTAGGTCTGAGAGGGGAGCGACACTGGGGAGTAGCTGATGATTTGGAAAAAAGATTCAGTGCATGTTCCCTGGCTTCCCTTCATCTCCAGGTACAGGTACTCACTAGCCCTTGTGGTCCATCAGTTCACTGTAACCTTCGATGCCTTTGCTGGAGCAGATTGCTAGCTTGGGGGACCCTCCACATCAATTTAGCAGTTAGTGCTGCTTTAGAAATGAGCTGCAAACATAACACAGC